ATTTTTAATTTATAAAAATTAATTATTTAAAATAATCGAAATCAAAATCTAAAAATTTTAATTTTTTAAAGATACAGTTTTTATAGGATGGAGGGAGTAGATAAAATTGATAAAACTGTTTTGATTGTTTTTGAGAAGGAAGCTTTACGAAAATAGCATTTAGGAAAGTTCGACGGATATGTTATTTATAAACACCTTCATAGGACAACTTATTTTTTTAAAAGGCAAATAGGACCCAACTTGGATTTCATATTAAGACGCCTTTTTAAGGATATTTTATTATTTTAAAAAGATTATTATTACTTTTTTATAATATTATTCTTGTATTTACTAAATATTTCATATCATTAATAATATGCATTTAAAAAATATTATATTATATTATATTCAATTCACATTAATTGATTAATAGATCGGATACCGATGATTATAAAAAAATATATATATTTTTAAAGATCTTAAATTTAAATAGTTATATTTATAAAATGTATATAGATTACCAGTAATTAAAAAAATAATATATATTATTATAAATTGCAATCATCGCATCTTATTAAAAGAATCTATAGATTACTTAGCATTAATAATAGTTGAAACAACTTTTGTTTGAAGCTAGACACTTGCTATACATGATACTACGTGGAAGGCTAAAATCTCCTGCAATAATAATGAAGACAGACAAGTGTGAAAATTCGAGGAAGCTGCACATCCGGAAATGAAACGGCACAGTTTCGATTCTTTCAACGACGTCAATAACCAAACTTATAACCAACCTTCCCGTGTGCGCATAAAAACACAGCGAAAACCTTACAAGCTTTGCATTAACATAAAGTTTATAATCGGACTTTCTTTCTTCTTCATCACATCGTATTCAATGGAACCGGCAGGCGAGTATTCTCGTATGGAGAACGGAGGAGATTCAAAGAAAAATGAATCATGGAATAATGGGATTCGGACGGCTCAAAACATGTCGACTTCACTTTTGCGGAAAAAATCCGACCCGTTGCTGGTTTCGAAAGTTCGGTTTCAGATGATCCGACGATTGTTAGGCAATGTGCAGGAGGTCATTCTTGGTACAAAGCTTGCCGTTCTCTTCCCTGCTATCCCTTTGGCCATTGCTGCTGATTTCTATAAGTTTGGAAGGGTAAGTAGTTAAACCATGTTTACGATGATTAGCAATCATTATTCGATGTCATGGGAGAGTAAGTAGTTCATATGCTCAAACGGCACTGGATATTTGCTTTGAGTTTGCTTGGACTCACGCCGCTTGCCGAGCGTGTCAGCTTCCTCACCGAGTAAGTTATTGTATATATTTCATCGATCTCTATATATATTTTCTATTAAAAATCCATTTTTGATTTAAAAAATGCAGACAAATTGCATACTACACCGGCCCAACAGGTAATATTTTTCAATTTTCTACCAAATAAGACACTTTTTTTTTTAATAAAATGTTGAGAATGAAGATGGGAGTTGATGATATATTTTGTTGCAGTTGGAGGGTTACTGAATGCAACTTGTGGGAATGCAACGGAACTGATAATAGCTTTATTTGCTCTTTGCCAAAGCAAAGTACATGTTCTCAAGTACTCTCTGTTGGGCTCCATTCTCTCAAATCTTCTCCTTGTTCTTGGTTCCTCTCTCCTTTGTGGAGGCTTAGCCAACCTCAAAAAGGAACAAAGATATGACAGAGTAAGCCAAACACGCACACACATATATTTTGAAAATATACAAGTGAGAGAGAAAGTACGGGTTAATTAAGTTAAAGCTGTGAAATGAAAAAAAATGCAGAAGCAGGCAGATGTGAACTCGTTGCTGCTGTTGCTGGGGTTGCTTTGCCACATGTTGCCACTGATGTTCAGATATGCGGCAGCGCCAGGTGTTTTGGTTGCCGAGTCTACACTGCATCTGTCGAGAGCAAGTAGCATTGTTATGCTTGTGGCCTATATTGGATATATCATCTTCCAGCTTAAAACTCACAGGCAGATTTTCGACGCACACCAGGTCATATTTCCTTTTTTACATTAATTTCTTTATAAAAGAGCCTTCTTTTAGGTAAGAGTCCTTTTTATCGAAGAAACTTATAAATTATGTTCAGGAAGATGAAGAAGAGGAAGAGGAAGAAAAGGCAGTGATAGGATTTTGGAGTGGATTTAGCTGGTTGGTGGGTATGACTCTATCATTGCTTTGTTGTCTGAGTACGTGGTGGGCACAATTGAGGTACAAACGTTGATCATTTCACTTATAAATTTTTCATAGCATAGTTTTTTTACAGCAACCCTGTCAGGCTGCATCAGAATCTTGGGGAATTTCTATCAGCTTTATCAGCATCATTTTGATCCCAATCGTGGGGAATGCTGCTGAACATGCCGGAGCTATTATTTTTGCTTTGAAGAATAAATTGGTACGTATTTGACATTAAATTAAATTTCATACATCATTTTAAAATTGGATTATTTTATTATTCATGGAATTTTATTGGATTTTTTCAGGATATATCTCTGGGTGTTGCTTTGGGTTCTGCGACTCAAATATCTATGTTTGCTGTAAGATATCCAGGAAGTCGAAACAACTTCGATTATATAAAAACTTGATCTTTGGTACTAATTAATTATGTATAAATTTCAGGTTCCTTTATGTGTTGTGGTTGGTTGGATAATGAGAGTCCGAATGGATCTTGATTTCAGTCTTCTTGAAACTGCTTGTCTTGCCTTAGCAATCCTTGTTGTAGCCTTCACTTTGCAGGTTCTTTTCCCCTCCCTCCCTCCCTCCCTCCCTCCCTCGTTTGTTCTAAAAATATTAAAATAGTACTATTTTATGTACATAAATATAAATAAATTATCAGGATGGAACTTCACATTACATGAAAGGAATAGTCCTTTGCCTCTGTTACGCTGCCATTGCTGCATGCTTCTTTGTTCATAAAATCCCGACCCCTTTGGGTAAGTTAAAATACCCCTTTTCCTTAATTTTCTCATTAGTTAGCATCAACTAACTGCAAAATTTGACTGTTAGAACAAACTACTGCGAAGCTGGTACTCAAACCATCATCCGGAATCTCATCCTAGCCGGCGGCGACGCCCCCTCCGGTGGAGGGGGTTGGTGTTCCTACACCAAATCAAGGACCGATCATCCCTTCCCATGGCTTGAAAAACTATTTGCTTTCCATTTCGAGTACTAAGAAGCTAGGATTTGAGCGCTACAGACATAGCGAAAAAAGTGAGGCCATTTTTATATGAGAAGATATCATTTGAAAAAGTGTGTATAAATAAACTCTGCTTCAGAGACTCCTTTACAGTAAGGTTTTTGCCTCTGATTTTTTTAGTTTACAATGGCAGCATATATGAGAAGAAGAAGACAGGTGGGTGACTGAAGCTTCAATCTCTTGCTGTTTTCTTTTAGTACATGCTGCTTAAGCAGAGAGAAATTGTCATGATGCAATAAGTCGTTAATCAGTCGATAAAATAAACCGTGCTGATGAGAGATTCATCACTGCCATCGATGACCACCATGGAAATCATGAGTTGCTTTTATCAGTCTCGATTAGGATTTTATCGGGATATGGCCATGCATTTATATTTGCAAAAGCAAAAGGAGGCATGGTCTCATGCTTGTCACGCCTTAACTAAACATAGGATTATTATCGTTGTCCAAAAAAACAGCTTCAATAACCGGCTTCCTGGTACAATTTAGTAACAAAAACTACAAGAAACACAGATCAACTTGTATGGCTTCAAAAGCTATAGCAAACCACTGTTCATTACTTTGATTTTTCAGAAGAGGCATAAACAGAGACTATTATAGATTAAGCTCAGGGAACTGACTAGAGATTAGATGTAATTTTCCGAACACAACTGGCCGGTAAGGGGATTCATCATTCCATATAATAAAAAGGATTTACACAGGCAGGAGTTGTCGTCGGGCTATCACGGATAGATCGACTGTCATCTTGAGCTTGTTTTGTCTCAATTTTGGTAGCTTATAGAAGGCTCCCTTAGGCATGCCAAATTTTTCTGCAAACTCTTCCTCAGACAAGTATGCCTACAGGAAAAGGCAACAAATTTCATATGCACTGCAAAGGGCACATTTCTTGAACACTAGATGGAGCAATATTATAAAGCTCTAAACTTTAACTCGTACCTCTTTTTTGGTCACATCTATGCCAGAAACTGGTTCAGTTGACGACACTGTCAATCTTTGATAAGGATATATCAATGAATTCGCACTAGTCTCATTTGCAGCAATCTGGATTGAGTTTTCATTTGTTGAAGGGAAGCCTGACTCTACCACTGGAGAATCTGTACAAAAGTTATTTAATTTTTTTCAGAATATTTAAAGATAACACAGGCTGTTTACCAGAAGAAGTAAAATGTAATCAGATAAAAAAGAGATAAAACAAGGAACCCCGATATAATGTGCATTGTATATTATTAGTTTGCAAATTGTCATCAGACCCAAATCTGACCATGCAAGTTTGTCTCAAAATCTCCCGCATAGTGCGGGCTCCTCATAATTCAAACTAAGATTCTCTTAATTAACTTTCCAAGTTGTTGATTCAATAGTGTGGAGGTAGTAATCAAGCTTTGTTTGGTCCGTTCAGTGAGAATGCAACTTATCGAGTGATTACAACTAGGAAAACAGACAATGAAGATCATCAACGTAGGATCGAGTCTTACGGAAGACATTTCATAATTCGGAGGTCTAGCTGCTCTCAACCTGACGTTGGGGGTAGCCTACTATCCTACCTCGCCTTACCCCATTACATATGGGAATAAGGGTCAGCTAAAAAAAACAGACAATGAACATCATCATAATATCAGATGCATCAATTTTTCTCCTGCTCTAAAATTATTGAATCTGCTGATCCCATCAGATTTTGAAATCATGTAATAGCATTACCAAATATAGGCACGTTCTTAAAGAAGAAACAGTAACCTTATAAGCACCTTGGTAAGGAGAGGATTCGGTAAATAGCTTCCTGGCAACCGGAGTTGGGCTGGATACGATGTGGTTGTCAGAAAGCTTCAAATGTGGACCTGGTATTATTGACGCTGGAGAAAAACTTCTTTCCCATCCATTTGAACTGCTAGATCTGCTTCTTATACCATCGGGGGTAGCATTCCTGGAGCGCGGTTTCAGTGTATTTCTTGATAGTGCCTGAATGGAATTGCATGAAGCTTTAATAAGATAAATTTTGTCAAAGAATACTAGGGTAGCCTGATCATAAGTGTCCAGCAAGGAAAATGTATCTTCTACTTGAAGCAAATGATGTCGCGGAAGACGGCTATCGGATAGAGCAAAAATGCAACTGATAATTTGAGAAAATAAAAATTAAAGATAAAAGAGACACAAAATTTACATGGGAAACCCCTAAATAATATAGGGTAAAAACTACGGGCAACGGTAGAAGAATTTCACTATGAGAAAAATAGGAATTACAACCTCTCTCGATCTACCAAAGAGAAAACAATGATAATTCTCTCTTGATAAAAAGGAGAAAACAACTCTCAAGAAACTCTCTAAATTCTCTCTAGTATTGGAAGAAAGCTATAATGCTTTGGGATGATTTTGAAGCTAAATGAGCTAGGGTATTTATAGTTAAATTTTAAGGACTAATCTTGTAAATACCCTAAAGTCTAATGACTAAAATTAATTTTTCCATTCAAAATATTCAACACCTAATTCATGCATATCATTCCCTTTTTCAAAGTTTTAGGTGGAATTGATTTTTTTCCAATTCCAACTTTCGGTGGGAATTTATCAATTTTCAACAATCTCCCACTTGAAGATTTGATTGGAACAATCATATCTTCACACTATTCTTTCTACCTTGTACCATCATGTTGCTTACATTTCTGACAGACCACAAGAGGATCGACACCAAGTAAATTTATCAGTGTTGATCGCCTTTGTCATGAAATCTGCTATGTTGTCTTTGGTATGGATCTTCTGCATATCTACCGTCCCTTCTTCCACCTTTTCACGAATGAAATGGTACTGAACTCGTATGTGCTTTGTCCTTGAATGAAATGATGGATTCCTTGCTAAATGCAAGGCACTTTGACTGTCACAAAACAGAGAGACATACTCTTGATTGTGCCCAAGCTCCTCCAATAGCATCTTCAACCAAATTGTTTCTTTACTGGCTTGTGTAGCTGCTACATATTCTGCCTCTGTTGTGGATGCAGCCACAACTGACTGCAATTTTGAAACCCAGCTTACAGGTCCACCAGCAACTTTGAACACATACCCTGTAGTAGATTTGCTTTTATCCAAATCCCCTGCATAGTCAGAATCTACATACCCATTGATTAGTAAATTTGATCATCTATAACATAATGCAACATTTGAGGTCCCTTTGATGTATCTCAAGACCCTTTTTATTGTATTCCAATGCTCTTTTCCTGGATTCGCCATGTAGCGACTAACCACTCCCACTGCTTGTGCAATGTCTGGTCTTGTGCATATCATAGCGAACATCAAACTTCCCACTGCTGATGCATACGGTACTCGAGACATCTCCATCCTCTCTTCTTCACTTCTAGGACTCATACTGGAGGATAATTTGAAGTTAATAGGAAGAGGGGTAGAAATTGGCTTACAATCTTGCATGTTGAATCCTGACAAGATCTTCTTCAAATAATTCTTTTGTGAAAGCCAAATCTTCCTATTACTTCTGTCTCGGTGAATTTGCATCCCTAGAATCTTGTTTACTGATCCCAAGTCCTTCATTTCAAATTCCCTAGCCAGTTGTGCATTCAATTCTTCAATATGATATTTGTTGGGTCTTGCAACCAACATGTCATCCACATATAACAACAATATAACAAAATCGTTATCACCATACCTCTTGAAATAAGCACAACATTAAGTCTGTTGTATCCAAGGCACATAATGAAGGAATCAAATCTCTTATACCAACACATCGGCGCCTGCTTTAGACCGTACAGAGATTTGTTCAACCTGCAAACCAAGTTCTTCTTTTCTTCTTCTTCAAAACCTTCAGGCTGGAGCATATAAATCTCTTCTTCAAGATTTCCATGAAGAAAAGCTGTTTTAACATCTAGCTGCTCTAGATGTAAGTTCAATGTAGCACACATTGCCAAAACTACTCGAATTATTGTTAGTCGAACCACAGGAGAAAATATTTCATTGAAATCAATACCTTCTTTTTGAGCATATCCTTTTACCACCAGTCTTGCACGATACCTCTCAACTTGATCGTCACCATTTCGCTTGATTTTGAAGACCCATTTGTTATCAATTGGATTCCTTCCTTGTGGTAGTGACACAAGGTCCCATGTATTATTTTTATGAAGGACTTCGATTTCTTCTTGCATCGCCATCATCCATAGTGAAGCATCTGAGCTGTTTATTGCCTCCTGGTATGTTGATGGCTCACCGTCCTCTGTTAAAAGACAGTATGCAATATTACCTTCTATAACATAATCTGAGTGCCAATTGGGACGTTTTCTCACACGATCTGATTGACGAGTTGTTAGAGCTTCAGAACTCTCTGGTTCTTGTTCATCATGTGTTGGTTCTGCTTCAGAAGAATCTCCTTTTTCAACCTCTTTTTCCACATGCATCTGAGTAGTCTCTGACTTTTCAGCGCTATCATCGTCTTCTTTTCTTTGTAGTTTATCTTCGACAAAGATAACATCTCTACTAATGATCACTTTGCGGGCAGTGGGATCCCACAAGCGATACCCCTTTACTCCATCAGTATACCCCAAGAATTTGCATTTCCTGGATTTTGGATCCAACTTTGAAATTTCTTGGGAGTTGTACATCACATACACTATACTTCCAAATATATGGAGGTTTGAATAATCAGTTGGTTTTTCAGTCCACATATCCATTGGTGTCTTCAGCTCTATTGCAGTTGATGGAGCTCGATTCACCAAATAACAGGCGGTATTGAATGCTTCTGCCCAGAATGATTTTTCTAGGCCTGCATCCCTCAACATTGCTCTTGTTCTTTCTAACAAGGTTCTTTTCATCCTCTCTGCCACTCCATTTTGTTGAGGAGTGTTCGCCACTGTGAACTGTCTTTTGATGCATTCTTTCCTGCAAAAATCATCAAATTCTTCGCTTGTGTATTATCCTCCATTATCTGTTCTGAAACACTTGATCTTATTTCCAGAATCAAGTTCCACCCGCGCTTTGAAGATTTTGAAAGTTGAAAACACATCTGACTTCTTCTTAATAGGATACACCCAACATCTCCTAGAGTAGTCATCAATAAATGAGACAAAGTATTTTGCTCCACCCAGGGATGTAACTGGTGCTTGCCATACGTCAGAATGAACCAATTCTAGAACATTTTTGCCTCTAGAATTTGACGTGTTGAATTTCAACCGGTGCTGCTTACTTGTTATACAATGCTCACACAAAGGAAGTTGTATCTTTGTTAAGCCAGGAAGTAGCTTTTGCTCCACAAGGACTTTCATTCCTTATTCTGGTATGTGTTCAAGTTTCTGATGCCATAGCATTGCAGAATCTGAACTACATGAGGCAACAGAGGCTTCTGCTTCTAGCAAAGTCTCTCCCTTCAGCATGTACAAGTTTGCTGCTATCTTTTCGCCTTTCAGCACCACAAGCGCTCCACGGAACACCTTCATGATTCCTTTCCGTGTTTCAATCTTGCTTGCATTATTATCCAACAATCCGTAGGATAATAAATTTTTCTTTAGGCCTTTCACGTGTCGCACATCTCGAACAACTTTAATTGTTCCATCATACATCTTCAATTTGATGGTTCCCACGCCAATGATCTCTAAGGCATGATCATTGCAACTATACACAGATCCTCCTGAGACAGGTTCATACTGATGGAACCATTCTCTTCTTGAGGTCATGTGATATGTTGCTCCTGAATCAATGAGTCATATATCTGCAAATCTTTTTCTTCCTTCCACGGTGGTTGACGCTTCACAGCATAGTGCATCTCCATCATCTGAAGTGTTTGCGGTATTGCCTTGTGGATTGGAGTTTTTATTTAGACTCCAACAATCCTTCTTCAAGTGACCATTCTTTCCACAGTTGTAGCACTTTAAATTCTTCTTGCTCCTCGACTTTGATCTACCATGTTTGTGACTGCTGCTTTGGCCACGTTCTGTTGATCTCCCTCTCATCGTTGTCAACGCTTCTGCTTGTTGCAGATTTACTTGTCTGTCTTCCTTGTTCTTGCGCCGATTTTCTTCTTGTAGAACAGCAGCTGCAACGTCATCGAAGACTAGACTAGTGACATTATTGTTTGTCAAGTTGATGATGAGTTGATCATACGAATCCGGTAGACTTTGAAGTAGAAGTTTAGCACGTTCTTGTTCTACTATTTTACAGCATAAGGATGTAAGCTGAGAAAATAAAGTGTTCAGTGTGTTTAAGTGCTCTGTCACTGAAGTAGATTCTGACATCCGAAGAGTGTACAATTTCCTCTTAAGGAAAATTTTATTGTGTAACGATGTGGTCTCGTACAATTTGGTGAGATGATCCCATATCTCCTTAGCTGTCTTCTTCTCCTCGATGTTTGACAATACTTCATCTGCTAATGCTAGATGAAAGTTTGCCATAGCATTTCCGTCCATCTCGTTCCATTTGTTATCATATGCGAAATCCAACGGCCTTTCATTGATAGCCGCTAGACACCCGTCTTTCCTCAGGATGGCCTTCATCTTCAATTTCCACAGTGAGAAATTTCTCCCATTGAATTTTTCAATATCAAATTTTGTTGCCATAGCTTCTATTATTGATAGCTCCCACTATTTCACTATCGTGAATAGTTCTTTAGAACCTCAAAAAATGGGTAATACATTCTTATTTTCTTATGTTGGAGGATCCACCTTTTGGTGGCAACCACAAAGACAATAAGCATATATTACACACTCAAATCTAGCTCTGATACCAATTGTTGCGGAAGACGGCTATCAGATAGAGCAAAAATGCAACTGATAATTTGAGAAAATAAAAATTATAGATAAAAGAGACACAAAATTTACATGTAAAACCCCTAAATAATATAGGGTAAAAATCACGGGCAACGGTAGAAGAAATTCACTATGAGAAAAATATGAATTACAACCTCTCTCGATCTACCAAGGAGAAAACAATGATAATTCTCTCTTGATAAAAAGGAGAAAACAACTCTCAAGAAACTCTCTAAATTCTCTCTAGTATTGGAAGAAAACTATAATGCTTTGGGATGATTTTGAAGCTAAATGAGCTAGGGTATTTATAGTTAAATTTTAAGGACTAATCTTGTAAATACCCTAAAGTCTAATGACTAAAATTAATTTTCCATTCAAAATATTCAACACCTAATTCATGCCTATCATTCCCTTTTTCAAAGTTTTAGGTGGAATTGATTTTTTTCCAATTCTAACTTTCGGTGGGAATTTATCAATTTTCAACAAATGAGAGTTTGGCCAATGACAAGAACTATTTATTAATAACCCCGTATATTTGTTGAACCACCCCCTATTGGTATGCATCTAGGAGCGAGTAGTTCAAGAAGGTTTACGATCAGCAAGGGGCAATGAGAAGGCCTCAGAGAAAAGTGATAGGAGACCAGGAAAGATATCTGGAAGGTACAATGATAAAGATGTTGGACCAACATCGAGAGAAGATTATAATGTTGGTGAAGACAGGAGATCAAGACAACATAATGATGATGATCAGTGCAAAAGGGAAGAAAAAAGATCTAGAAGGCACAATGACAGCGACTTTGAGCCAAGGTCTGTAGAAGATCATAAGAAGGATGAAAAGAGATCAAGAAGGCATGGTGATGATGGTGAATATGGGGCTAGGTTAAAAGTAGAAAAGAGGGATGGAAAGAGATAAAAAAGGCATGGTGATGATGAGTTTGAGCCAAGGCCTAATAGAGATCATGTAGGAGACGAGAAAAAAAGATCCTTAAAGAATGAATCAGAATCCTATCCAATAGACGATCGTGATAAGAGAGGTGATGAGATACGGTCAGGCTACAACAGGAATTCATCCTCCCATCGACATGGAGAGAGATCTTATCATGAAGATCAAGTCAGATAAATAAGAATTCTTTTATGTGCGGAGATGTGTTTAACCTTACTTGTACATTGCAAGGTGCATCTCATTTTAGAGAGTCACGATGACGTTGGCCTGGATTTATCCTAAGCTTTGTTACTAATATCTTCTTTCAAAGTAAATGTTTCATGGGCGATGCCAACTATCCTTGCAAGAAGAATGCCCTCCGCAAGAATGGTGGAATCCATACCGATCTCTCAGTATTCTCTCTCTGTTATAAAGTCTTGATATAAGCTTAGCAACCGAGTATATATCATCCTTGGAAAGAGGATGACAGTTATCTCCTGCCAGAAATTCATGAATGACCTCAATTATGCATCAACCTTGCTCCTTCTTGAGTCCAATCACTCTCATGTGCTTCCTTAATCTAGCAACACCATCCCATTTCCCAGTTTTGGCATACATTAGATAAAAGAACATATGCTTCATTATTTTCAGGATCCAAAACTCAAGTAAACGGCTACAAGCCAGTTCAGCAAGCTCAACATTTCCATGAATTTGAAAAGCTCCAAGCAGAGCTCCCCATACAGAATCAGTAGGGAGGTTTGGCAATTTCTAGATGAATTCAACAGCATCTTCCAAAAGGCCTGTGTGACCGAGTATATCAACCATGCAAGAATCGTGCTGGATCTCAGGTGCAATACCATAAACTGGTGTCATCATATCAAAAAAGGTTTTGCCCTCCTTTACCAACCCTGCATGGCTACAAGCACATAACACATTGGTAAATGTCACAGAAGTGGGCATGGATTTGTTTGAGTTGGCTTGAATTGGCCCAAAACTCAGTAACTAATATTTCTATATAAAATACAATATTTAAATTATTTATAATTCATAACTTTTAAATAAAATAATTATATTTATGTTTCTTAATATAGAAACAACAATAATAATCAAACTTTTGATGGGGTCCAAATCACTTACTAGAGTTTCCCTTTAAAATTTTAAGTAGAAAGTGTTGGACCAAAGAAAACAAAAGAATGCAGAACATGGGTGTAGCCAAAGTACTGGGCCATAATTCCCTGCTTTAACTTTTGCTAGAAATATGGAATAAATCAATCGGTACTAGACCCCAGTTGTTTCTGCCAACCTGAATGATTGAAAGAACTACTTGTATATCAGAATTTGTTTATCAAGCTTTTTATATACAATTAGATTTCTAAATATATTTAGGAAAACAAAATGAATAGCACAATGCATAATTAAAATGGAATTCTTTCTATGTAGTGTTTGAGAACGTGATATTTGCACATGATCCATTTTCCAATACCGAACTGGAAAACAAAATGAATAATACAATGTAAATAATATCAATTCGTCAGTCCTTGAACTGGAATGCCTTCAAAAAAAAATCAAGTTCAACTAAATAAACAAAAAAAAAGTGCTTTTGCTGGAAAAATTTTAGAGGATGAGATTATTGAGATAATATTTCATAATTTAAAAACTAAAACCTGTGTAAATATAGATAATCTCTTACTCAAACACAACATTTACATCAGAGTCTTGGAAACCTAGTTTAACACACTATCAAAGCATCCCAGAAATCACCACGATCATATGATTAATTTTAGCTGTAAACTCATTTCTTTTGGTCACAGCTTCACAGGCACAAAGGTACAAAAACCTGTAAAAAAAAAACACACATGCACTACAAATTAACCCACACACATCACCGCATCTCACAAAATTCTCACTATCTCCCAGTTCCTGAGTAATTAAATAAGATTAAAAACTATATATATATAAAAGAAAATCAAGTTGAGAAAATAAAAAGTGCAGAAAAGATTACATGCATACGATCTCACACTTAAACAGTGTACACAATGATAAAGCAAGGGAGCACCGCCCTTGGATTGAAGACCAACAACTCTTCCTCGTCAAGCTTGGGATATGCCCCACTCCCACCCCTTCCGATCACCGAGTCAAACCCACCGGCTTCCTTGTATATTTCTTCCCCTTCTGATCCAACTCGGCCCGCCACGACCCGACAGACAAGCATGGCCCGTTTCACGTTCATGAACTTGAATTCTTCCTCTACATCCTCGGGGATCGCCATGTGCGCTCTCCAGCTCGTGGATAGTGTGGAGATTCCATCCATTTTTTGTGAAAAACCAGACTTGATTATCCCACAAACGTTGCAGTACTGTTGAGTACATATGCTTGAACTCCCGTTAAGTCCCAAATCACACATGAAAGTTGAGCAGTTAAATCTCAACAGCTCGTTCCCGTCAGCTATGCACCTCTCGTCCCGCCTCCATATCGCACCGTTCTTCGCGGCTTTCGCTTTGACGAGCTCTCTGTATTCTTCGAACCTCGTTAGAATCTTTGGGCTGTTATGGATCTTCAAAATACGGCGGATTTCAGGGTACTTAACCTTGTCCGTCCAACCGGTTTTAAATATGATCCGAACTATGTTGTTGCCTGAATCCCCATCAGCGAGTTCGGACACGGCGTGCTTCGTCGCTTGGTGTTGTTCGAGAGAATGGGGTTTCTGCAAAATCTCACCGCAAGCCGTGCATGGGAAGATATCGTTACGTAGAGGGAAAAAGGGGCAGTCCGATGAGATGTCGGATTCTGGACAAGACCCAGATTGCATTTGATGAGTGGTGTCCGAATCTGATAAAAGAGTTTCAGGGGGGATAACCATGGAGACAAGGGATTGTTGGGAGTTTCTAGCAGAGGTTAACACTGGGGTGGTTGCTGAGTGGGTTTGGATGGCGTATTTGCAGTTGGCTTTAGAAGTAGAAGAAAAGATGCGTTTGAGGAAAGTCCAGGTGGAGGAAAGAGGTTTTCGGTGCTTGAGAGAGTTAGGAGAAAGAGGTGAGGATTTGCGTTTCTTGGTTGGCTTTTGGGCGGCATTGAAAACGAAGCAACCAAGGTGGAGAAGAAGGATGAAGAGAGAGAGGAACTTATTGAAGAATGACCCGATATTGGTTTTCGCCATTGATAGACACGCTGAGACAAGTTTGATGGCAAATTTTGAGGCAGCTTCTGGATGTAGTTTTCATGCCATCAAGCAGTCGATTGCGTTGCTAACAGAGGGAATGATGAAAGGGAAAGGGAAAAGGAAAGGAAGATGGTATCGTGAGAGTGGGGGCATAGAAGAATAAAGCTACTTCATATTCTTGTAAATAATTAAATTGTTAGAATTTAAATATTAATAATTTTGAAACTAATAAATATGAAAATAAAATAAAATCATATAAAATATTTATTTCACGTGTGATAAAGTATAATTAGTTATTAATTTACTTTGAATCCTTCAATTTATATTTATTATTTAGTAAAAAATAAATTGTTTTGAGTAATACCCATGTTTAATAAAAAAGGTAGTTAAATTGGTACCTCTCTTTTCTACACCATTATTGGACACAGATGAGTTAATAATTCACTATGGATAGTTTTAGCTAAACTGATTCAGACACATTCAACCATGTAACTGAGAACAACCCAATACTCAGCCACTCAGGCACAACTTAATTGGTATAATTTGTAAACAACTTTAACAAAATTTTAAGTATATAACTTAGCAACTAATACTCCGAAATTATTAAAAGAAAACTAACGATTTAAAAAGAATGTCGAACCTCACAAATTTTCATGTGATGGGCGGCCCTAATTTTCATGTGATTTTTTTAACTTGCATACTCAATTTGACGTATTACTTTTTAGTAAAATTATATTTTTTTATATAAATTCCGGTTTTTACATATTTTTGTTTTATCAGCATCAAATTCTTTTGGCCCATCATACTTTATAAGAAATGGTTTATTATATATTATATTTAGATCATATTTTCAACCACTGTTTTTTGTTTTTATTCTTTTTTACTTACTATACAACAATTATTGGTTGATTGGGGGCTTGAGCTGCAAGCTTTTTGTTGTGCTGTTTCTTTCATATATTATTGAACATTCGTTGTATTATAGACAGAAGAACCGGTTATTAAAGGATAAAAAGGTAAAAGATAAAAAAATTATTCTTATATCTAGTAAAAATAAAAAATTTCATTTATTGTTTGATAAAATTGAAATTTTAAGGAATATGAGTAATGGCAGTTTACATTGAGCTGAAACCAATTTTACATGTATAGTACAGTAATGGCAGATAATGCCTTAGACCTAAATATGAGTAAAAGTTTTTTTTTGGGGGGTGGTTACTAATTAAACCATACCTTAGTTAACTGATTTTTGGGTGATGAAAAGTTTAAAACTTATAATTTGAAATTTCTAAAACATTACAAATTATTTATAGAAAATATTTTTTTAAAAATGAGAATGAAATGATTTTATGTTAACCATACCGCCAAGTATACTAATCAATTACTCTGATTTAGTTTTGGAATCTTCCCTAAGCTAAGTTGGAAAGTTGAAAGAAATTGTATATAGAGTGGTGGTGGTGGTGGTGATGGTGATGATGATGGTGAGGTGGGCTACATGATCTTCAATACACATACAATATTATATTATTGCCATCAATATTGGTCCATATGATCATCTCCTTGGCCGATTCATTTTTCTAATGATCCCCCATGGCCACCATGTCCCATGACCTGTGCTTTATCTACCGGCCAACTTTATATTAGGGATAATATACTTTTTAGTATATGGATTTAGTTTTATAATTTAATATGTACTTTTTTATATAATCATATAATTGAACTTGACTTTAAAGATTAATATTTTGGTTAAATTATATACATAATTTTTTTTAATTCAAATATGTATATAAATTGATTTTTTATTCTAAATTGATTAAAATACATGTATCTATTTGGTTAAGTCCGTATATTGATTTAAATAAGAAAATAAAAAAAATGAATATCTAATTAAAAGATTAAACACTAAATTAAATCATAAAATCAAATTCAGATAATTGAAAATAAATTAAAATATGATCCGCCTGATTAATTAAGTAGCTCAATTAACCTTTTTCATGAGCATGGCGTTTGTCCTCCCCGTATATGGCTAACAACAGAGGTCACCCAATTCACTGTTTGCTATTATTACCTGCATAAAATCATTGAAACAAAAACTTACTTTGAGACGAGAATGAAATATTTATAATTATTGATATTTTAATTAAAATCAAGTATTATATATAGGTTAATCTTGTAATTTAATTTATTTTATTGATCATGTCAAAATCTGAACGGCTGGTCTTAAATAAAGAACCTCACATCTTATTATGGTAGACTAATAAATATTTTATTTACTTTTTTTAAATTAATTGAATGAATTGTGAAATGCTAAAGTTTATTAGAGGTCTATGTATTATTTTTAAAAATTCATTTTAATCTCTCTATTATAAAAATAAATACTTTTATCCTTGTACTATATTTAAAAAAGTATTTTAATCTATCGTCTATAAAAAGAAATATTAGAGCCTTTGTATGCTTGAAAAATATAATATTTTGATCCAAAACACTGAAATTATTGTTAGAAACCACATAATTGTATAGTATAAAAATTCTAATAAACTTGGAAAAGTAAGGAATTTTTATATTATATTGAAAAATTAAATTAAACTTTCTAATATAATATAATACTTTATAACATTTTTTTATACAAGTAACTAATTTTATTCAAAATAAGAAATATCTCAAATTATAATAAAGATTTACAATCACAATCGTAAATTAAACACATAATTAGAAAATGTTTCTATAATCATTGAAATAAAACTAATAACTTAAGATCATAAAAGGATAATATGAAGAAATATTAAATCTAACCAAGAAACTCAAACAAATATATATACTAATAAATTTGATCGTATCGGAAAACGAACCACAAAAGGGGATCAAGTTTTTGAAAGACCAACGACAAACTGCAAAACATACTTGAGCAATGTGAAAAGCTATCAACGAACGCAAATTCGATATCCAAATCCAATCTGAGGGTCTAAAGAAAGGAATACCACAAGATATCAGATAAGCGCATCTTGATCATTCATGATGATGTCAAATAAATCCTTAGAAAAAAGATTTAAAAAAAGGTCAAAGAATAGAAAAACATGTAAAAAAACATAAGAAAACGTGTCGTAAAGGCAAATAAAAACGTACTATATAAATAAAATTATTGAAAATAAAAAAAAATAAAAATAAAGATATGATATAAAAAAAATAAAAAAAAAAATCAATAGTCTATAATTAAAATTGATGCTGTCATCGATCAACAAAGATGAAAAGAAAAAGAAATGATTAACACTCCAAAGAGAAAAAATTAAATTTGTAGGGATTATAATAATTTCTAATAAACTTGAAAAAGTAGGGAACCGCATGATTCATACATTTAATTATCCTTCCCTCGTGACTCTAATCCATTGGTTGGGTAACACATGAGGTTGCCTGCCATTAATGCCCATTTCCCTATTACCTTTCTGACTGTATTTCCCTTTAGGAAATGGTGATTTATATTTACAATTCTTAAAGATATTATTTCTACAATAATATTTTTATTCACCAATATATTTAAAACAATACATAAGAATTTCAAATTATTGTCTATATCATATTTTTATTTTAAAAAATAGTGATAAAATTCTTGAATTATGATAAAGTTTTTTTCTTCTTTCATTAAATTTAATATATGAGCTTTAAAAATGAATGAATTGAAGAGTGACTTCTATAGATAAGAAAAAAAGTGATGTGATAGAGTATTATAGGTGTAAGTATTGATTTCATCTGTATCATCATTTGATTAATGAGTTGAATAATAGAATATAACAGTGCAGCTCTTAAAAGATGGTAGTTTTGCTGGATAAGAAATATATATATATAAATGTGATGATCAAATAAAAAATTATATAAATATTTATAAAATGTGTTTAATTACTATAATTGACATTCATATAAGTGGTGGATAAAATATAAAAGAAAGCATAATTGTTCGAATAACACCCCTTTTAGTCATCATTTTACATGAGTAATTGTTCGAATAACACCCCTTTTAGTCATCATTAGGCTCCAAATCTAAGAATATGTTTGGATAAATATATTTATATCCCAACATTCGAATGAGTATTATTAAATAACCATACGTTCACCCACATGACGTGATATGGAACTAATATGTTGCTTATTTCACCCGTTCTTCATAATGGATCCATGACTATGCAAGTGCACGGGGTTGCAAGTAAACTCGAAGACCGTTCTTCATAAACAGTGTGAGAGACATCTTCTGCTCCACCCTGTGTCCAGGAACCAGAGAAAGGCGGTAACGTAGTAGCACAGCATAGGCCACCGACTTCATTTGCAAGTAAGCCAAGTCTTTCCCCAAACAAGTCCTTGGTCCAGCGTTGAATGCCACGAACTTGTAAATATCTTTAGGCGGTTCGAATTTGTCACCTTCTTGTGATAACCACCTTTCTGGCCTAAACTCCATGCAATCTTCTCCCCATATAGTCTTCGTTCTTCCAATCGATAATATAGAATACGTTACCGTTGAGCCTGAGGGCACGAACGTGCCATCTGGTAACACATCGTCGTGGACTACATACTTGAAGTCCTGGGGATCTGAAGGGTATGAACGAAGCGTTTCAGTTAATGCTTCTTTGAGATATACCAATCTGTCAGCTTCGTCAAACGACAAAGCCTCTTGGAGCCATTTGTTGTGATCTGGACCACGTGTGTCGCGGAGAACCGTTGATATTTCATTGATGATCTTTTGTTCGACCTCTGGGTGGTTCATGATGAGCCTGAAGAACCAGCTGAGGGCTACAGAAGATGTGTCCCTTCCGGCGAGGACGAAGTTTAGAGCAATACGTTGGAGAACATCGCTTGTGAAGAAACTGCCGTTAACGTCTCTTTTCTTCATGAAACGGGATAGTAAATCATCTTATGAAGCTTCTTTCCGTGCTTCAATGGCGCCGTTCATGTAGTTTTCAACGATTTTTAGGCTACTCTTCAATCTTTTCTCTTCTCCAATCCCCAAAATCTTCTTCAATCTCCATAGAAAACCAGGGTAAAGAAGCCTATACATAGTCGTTTCGGCGGCAGTGTCAAAAGCCGTGGCGAATGGATTTTCAGGCAAATCAGGAGAAAGTGTTTGTGGATCCTTACCAAATGTAAGTCCACAAATGTTTTCAAATGTTAACCGAAGCAACAAGTCTTGCAAGTCCACCGATTCCTTCTCATTGGCTGCCTTGTCCAAAATACACCATAGCCGGTTCTTGATGGTCCTATTCACCCATCTAGCCATGGCTATCCTGAGCGTCCTGGTTGTGAACTCAAGTGCAGCCGTTTTCCTTTGAATGAGCCACGTCTTTCCATCACTATTGAATATCCCTTGCTCCAACAGATCATGAAACGCAGCTTGCCAAGTAGCCCCCTTGGGGTAATTATCGAAACGAGTCCGAAGAATGTGCTCGATGTTTTTGGGGTGACAAGTGAACGTATAGAACCCTTGCTTGCGAGCCAAGAAAGGAAGAGCAATGGTGCACGTCTGATAAGTGGCTGAACCACCTGTAGCTCGAAGGTTACCAGCAATCCAATCATGGATTCTCCTCCGGTTCATGAAAAGAAGCGGCAGGCTACCGACCAGGGGCCATACTCGTGGACCGGTTAACTTCCTGGCTAGGAAATGGAACCAGATCGAGTAAGCAAATACTACAGCAGCTAAGCTGAAAAACAATGGAAGGGTTTCCATGGCATATTACCCAAGTTAATAATAAACAAGTTATACATATAAAGTGATGAAAATGAGAACGGTTTAGGAAGAGTTGTTGGGAAATTTTAGCCTATTGAAGAGAGGTTTGCTGTTGGGTCTGATATGAAATACGTATGTGAGGTAATTTACGCGAAAACCATTCAAAGAAATTTCGGTAGGTACTGCATTAAAGACTTGTTATATTTGTAGTCATTGGAATTGGACTAATTTCTTCCTGGACTTATTAACGCTACTGGTTTGTGACAAGAAGACAGTTGCTTCACGCCAAATTTTTATTTTCTATATGATACGTTTTTCATTTATCTTTTTTTTTCTAATGATTGATTTAATATTGTCACGATTGATCAAGATGACATTTATCTAATATTTTGTTGATCTTCTTGCTTTGGACCTCATATTGGATTTGGATATTCGATTTACATTCGTCGATAGTTTTTCACGTATGATTTTCGGTTTGTCGGTGGTCATTCAATAGTTTGATCCCCTTTTGTGGTTCACTTATCGATGCAGTCAGATCTATTGTACGGTTCTTAATCTTTCGAGTTTCTTGGTTAGATTTTTAATATTTCATTGTATGGTTCTTATATGATTTTAAGTTGTTATTTTTGTTTTAATGGTTATAATTTTTTTCTTAATTATGTACTTAATTTATTATTATGATTGTAAATTCTTATTGTAATTTAAAATGTTTTTTATTTTAAATAAATTAATTACTTCTTTAAAAAATGTTCTCTTAAGTCCATGTAATGTGAAAGGAATCATATTCCATCAAAATTTAAATACAAATTTATTTATTATTTATTTATTTTGTTTACCAATAATATGATGCATAAAATCTAATCATAAAAAAAAAGAATTTACACTCAAACAAAATTCTTTTATTTCGAAATTGCAAATAAACTAAAAGATGAAGTATATCAAGGTTATTTAATTGTACTAAAATAGTTAGTTTGGTTGCTGAAATTTCAAAAATTATAAAATAATAATTAAATTTATTGATATGTTATAAAATGATCGTTATATTTATTATAATTAGGAGTGAGCGTTTGATCGAGTCGAGTTGAGCAAAAAATAATTGGAGTTATTCGAGTTGACGAGTCTTATTTTACAACTCGAAGTTGACTTGAAATTTTTTTAGTTGAGTTGGGTTTTTGAGTTTCTTTTTAAATTTAATTGTAAATATTTATAACATTATTATATTATTTGATCCTAATTTAAATGCTTTTTATAACCACATATAATGTAGAAAGTCAAAAATAATAAATGGGTTGGCACCGAAAATTAGGTGCATAATTTTTTATTATTTTTTATATGGTCAAATTACAAACTCTAGTCACTAAAATTTAGGGTATTTACAATATTAAGTCCTTAAGATTTAGCTATAAATACCCTATCCATTTAGCTTCAAAACCATCCCAAAGCATTCTAGCTTTCTTCCAATACTAGAGAGAATTTAGAGAGTTTCTTGATAGGTATTTTCTCCTTTTTATCAAGAGAGAATTATCATTGTTTTCTCCTTGGTAGATCGAGAGAGGTTGTAATTCATATTTTCTCATAGTGAAATTCTTCTACTGTTTCCCGTGGTTTTTACCCTAAATTCTTAGGGGTTTTCCATGTAAATTTTGTGTCTCTTTTATCTTAATTTTTATTTTCTCAAATTATCAGTTGCGATTTTGCTCTATCCGATAGTCGTCTTCCGCAATAATTGGTATCCGAGCCAGATTAGAGTGTGTAATATCTGCTTATTGTCTTTGTGGTTGCCACCAAAAGGTGGATCCTCTAACATAAGAAAGTAAGAAGTTATTACCCATTCTTTGAAGGTTACAGAGAACTATTCACGATAGTGAAATAGTGGGAGCTATCAGTAGCTATGAAGTGAAAAGCAATCGAAATTTGGCTAAATTCAATTTGATATTCAATGGGATGGAAAATTAGCATTAGCAGATGAAGTATTGTCAAGCATCGAGGAGAAGAAGACAGCTAAGGAGATATGGGATCATCTCACCAAATTGTACGAGGCCACATCGTTGCACAATAAAATTTTCCTTAAGAGGAAATTGTATACTCTCCGTATGCCAGAATCTACTTCAGTGACGGAGCACTTAAACACACTGAACACTTTATTTTCTCAGCTTACATCCCTAAGATGTACAATAGGAGAATAAGAACGTGTTGAACTTCTACTTCAAAGTCTACCTGATTCGTATGATCAACTCATTATCAACTTGACAAACAATAATGTCACCAGTCTAGTCTTTGATGATGTTGCAGCGCTATTTCGAGGAGCAAGAAGAATTTAAAGTGTTACAACTGTGGAAAGAAGGGTCACTTGAAGAAGGATTGTTGGAGTCTAAATAAAAACTCCAATCCACAAGGCAATATTGCAAACACTTCAGATGATGGAGATGCTCTATGCTGTGAAGCGTCACCCACTGTGGAAGGTAGAAAGAGATATGCAGACATATGGCTCATTGATTCGGGAGCAACATATCACATGACCTCAAGAAGAGAATGGTTCCATCATTATGAACCTGTCTCAGGAGGATCTGTGTATAGTTGCAATGATCATGCCTTAGAGATCATTGGCATGGGAACCATCAAATTGAAGATGTATGATGGAACAATTAAAGTTGTTCGAGATGTACGGCACGTGAAAGGCCTGAAGAAAAATTTATTATCCTACGGATTGTTGGATAATAATGCAAGCAAGATTGAGACACGGAAAGGAA